TATTACCTAAGATTATAAATTAAAATTACCATTAAATAATGTTTATCCTGTCAAGATTTCATACCAAATGGCTCCCAAAGACCAAATATCAACTGATTTATCATAAAAACAGTCTTTTATATTTAAAACCTCTGGTGCTATATAATAAGGTACTCCAACGCAAGCGGTCTTTGCCATAAAATTTCCAGTTTCTTTAACTAAACCAAAGTCAATCAATTTAATAATTTTTTGATTGTTTGGCTAATTAATATATACAAAGTTTTCTGGTTTTAAATCTCTATGAAATAATCCCAAATCATGAAGTTAATCAACACCTTACACCATCTTAAATAAAATAATATTGTTCTATTACTTATATAAAATATTAATTTTTTTGATCATATGTTAATCTGTAATAATCTTATGTTTACATATATTTGTAGAATTCTCCATTAGCAAACTCCAAAATAATTATTGGAACAGAATTCTAATTTTATTATACTGCTTTTATCCCAATTATATGGCTGAAATTCTTTGCATAAATTGCTTAAATTGCTTTTAATTCATTTTGATTGATTGATTTTTTGTATTCTTTAATAGCCACAATTTCATTTGTTTACTTATTTTGTCCCTTAAACACAATACCTTCTGTTCCTTCTCCAAGTTTTTAACCATTAATAAAAATTATATTTTACACTTAGCCTTAATAATTTAACATTTTTGATAGTCCCTCTAATATTGTTAAATAATGATTTAATTAATGCTATTTTAGAAATCATATTCATATTAATAGAATTTGAATAATCAAATTATAATAAAATAAATTATAATTATCATTATAAATACATAAATCCTTATTTTTATTATGATTATTTCAGAGATTATTTTGCTAAATGAGTTTCTATAATGGCTATAAAGTTTTATTAGTCTAATTATTAGAATTTATTTGAATTTAAATAATGCATTTATTCTAAGTGGATGTTAATTGTATTTAAATAATTAATGGAATAAGAAAATAAGAATAAATTAAAAATGTATTTGATCAAATCTTATAAGATGAATAAGAGTTGAGAATTTTAAAGGAATATTAAAAAGAATCTACAAATAAAATTTCTAAATTAATTTTAGATTTAACAAAATTATAAATAACAAAAAGAGAATGATGCATTGTCTTAAACTATAGAAAAAATAGAATAAAATTATCATCAATAAAAATTATCAATGCTAGTGTCTCCAAAAGATAATAATTATGCTTTTACAACTACGTAAAAAGAGTTTCTTAAATGATAAATTTCTAGAAACTATTAATAAAATTCCTGAAAATACCTTGTAAAATCTAATTTAATTTTTAAATTCATCTAAATCTAATAAATTAATCATAAAACTATTTAAACTATTAAAATCTACAGAATCAACTGTGATACTATTAATGCAATCTCCTAATGTTCAAATAAAAAAGTAAAATAAATAGTTAAACAATAGATTAAATTCATACAATAGATTGGCGATCAAAAAATTATCATAAATAATTTCTGGAAAATATGATTTATTTTGTTTAATATATAAACTTCAAATGATTAATTAAAAAGAAATATATAAATCAAAATTTTTTAATTAAATTTCTTTTATTAATATCATTTAATTATAAAGCATTTGATTTCTATTAATGATATTTTGATCTATATGATTTGTTATCACTGTTTCTCTAATTGCATATATTATATATTTAAATTGTTTAACAATCTATCTAATACTGTAATTATGTTTGCAGCAATACCATAACTCAGAACAAATTAATAAATAATATGAATATTTGTAGAATAACCCACATTTATATTGCATAATTATCAATTTCCTTCAGATTCATCATCAGAATGTGTCTGCAACAATTCACTTATTTATTTTGTGTATTCTTCAATTTATTTGCTAATTTGCAATACATTCTTTCTATTTCTTTCATATTACTTCTCTTTATAACTTGTAACCAATAATTTAATATCTCTTTCAATCGATGTTGTAATATTGGTATCCTAACATCAATAATTATCAATTTACTTTAGTATTAGCTTTTGATTACAAATTATCTTTGATATTACTGACAGTACCTAAAAGTGTTTCTTTATTTTCAAATAACTAATAATTAATATAATTATATTACTGTCTATAAATCTTCATCCCATTCACTTAAATCACTTCCTTATTACACAAATACTTAATATCTATCATATTCTAATTTTGCTATATCTGTTAATTTAGTTCCAAATTCTCTAATAAAATCACCTATCTTCTTAAATCCATGATCCCCTGATACATAATCAGACATATCTTTTGTTATAAATCCTAATTTTCCATCAAAATCTCCCAAAGCTGCCTCTATATCTACCATCAACTATAACTCTGTTGACAATAGATTATCTTTAAGTCTTTAAGTTTCTTTGTTTAAATCTTCTAATTTTTATTTCCATCCGTCTTCGTTTCTTTCTTTTGCTCTAAAGGCTAATTTCTTTTGATGTTCGAATTTTTTAATTGTTAATATGGTTTCATTCTCACTTTTAATTTCCCTTGCTCTAACTGCTTGTTCAAATTTCTATTTAATTTATAATTTATTTTTTTACTTCAATTGATTATAATTTTGCAGTATTCTTTTGAATAACATTCTTTTAAAGATTTTCAACTGTTTCTTTAATTTTCTCCTAAAATTTGTTGATTTCTTCTTCTACTCCTTTCATTGTTTTTACTTTTTCTAATTCTTCATCTTAAATTAATTCATCACTTAACTTTTCTACTAAATCCATTCTTGCACTTTTTCGTTTAAATAATTCATCATTATTATTCTTCTCCTCTTATTCTTAATTTTACATTTGCTTTAAAAAGTCTTCTTAAGTAATAGCATCAGTTCTAAATTTTTCATCTGATTCTCTAATCTAATTTCTTTATGCTTCATCAATAAAACTATAATCTAGATATCTAAGATTAGGTAAAGAATTAATTATATGATTTTTATAATCTGGTTCTTTTGTAAATGGATTCCCAGCTACATTTAAAACTTATAAGTTCTTGAATTTCATTCCTTTTCCTTTACTAAAATATTGTGTTACTATTTCAAAAGAAGGTATTTTATTATTACCAATTGATAAAACATTCAAAGATTTACAATTGTCCAAACCTCCAACAGAAGTAAGTTAATTATTAAACATTGATAAATCTTTCAAATTAATTAATTTATCTAATCCTTCAATTTCTTTTATCAAATTAAATGATAGATCAAGCCAATGCAAATTGACTAAATGATCTAAATTCTCAATTTTTTATATTATGTTATTATCTAATTGTAACTTCTCTAATCTCTCCAAACCTTAGAGGTTTTCGATCTTCCAAATGTCTATTGATATATAATAATATTGAAATACTTTTAAAAGACAATGACATGACACGCAAAGAATTTAACATAATTTAATCTCCCATAGTTATTTTGTTTTCAGAATTGTAATCCTTCACTGATTTACTTAAATATAATTTAAAAATTACATGATTAAGGTTTCATCAATAACTGTGGGCTCTATTGAAGTTTTATTGTTTCGCTTATCAATCTTAGGAAGATGAGCACTTTGGAAGTTCAACATTAGAAATAAATATATTATTTCAATTATTTATATATAATTCTTTATTTTGAACTTCATTTAATTTTTCTCAAATAATGCTGTAATAGTAATAATATGGAGAGAAATGGAATTAATAATAAGTAAAAATAATAAATCCCATATAATTTACTTATAAAATGAAATTGTTTATATTTAAAATAAGAATAATAGTATACTGACAATCATTATGTTCATTCTTCTTCTCCAATAGGAAAGGAAGTCATACAACCCCAGAAACCATAACTAACACCGTGAGTATTGA